GGATGGCCTCAAATTTAGGATCACCCAGCCTCATCCTCAAGAGTAGAGCATTTGGGGTTGGGATTTTAATTTAAATTTAACTAACTACTTTATAATGGCTTAACATAACCATCAAATTCTTCCTCCCAGCCAACAGATTCCAACAGGATCTGAGTCCTGATAATTCTCCAAAGCCACCTACCTAGTATCATCATTCCTCCAAATCACGACACCCTCAGGAAATCTTCCCTGACCATCCAATCCAAAGGCTTCAATCCAGATACACACTATACAACACATTATCTATATCCGTGCCCTTTACCTCACAATTTTAAACTGCAAACTTCATGAGGCAGGAATGTCTTCTCTAATTTCTTGCTTCATACATACCTTCTCAGTACTTGAAACATACTTAATAATCTGCTACATGAGTGAATGCAACTTTAAGAAATGTATATACAATAAAAATTACTTTCCTTCACCTTAAAACATAGAAGGTGACCTAAAACATTTGTTTCCCAACTTATTTAAGGCAGAAATAATATGCTGACACAAATTCTCATACCATATATAGTCAGAGGTCAAAAAGTCACACCCTGAAAGCTAAATCTAGCCTAAGACCTGTATTTGTAAATGGGGATCTTACTACGCCACACCCACTATGTACCTCTTGTCAGACTACATTCAGTTACACAATCAGTCCTGAGCCACAGCAACAAAGACTTTATGGACAGCACAGCCTAAAACTATCTGAGGTCACAGAGAAAAAGCCTGCTGATTCATGACCACCAACAAGCTTCCAGGGTACCTTCCCAGCACCCAAGAATAAGAGTAATTTAGACAGAATAAATAAAATCCTATGCAGTGGCAGCTTTATAACATGCTCAGGATGGCCATAAATGAAGGCAATCTTTCCTGGAGGAAACACATGTTTTGCTCCTGTTTTATATGCTCATCATTGGAAAGCAGCCCCTCTCACCTCATCCCTGCAACACCATGCAGGTCTGCTAAAATTCTTGAAGAAATGCAGAAAGGAGATTACTTTCAGGCTTTGGGAACGAAGATTTAAGATAGGACCTAGAGAACATTAACCATAAAGGAAAAATAGAAATTGTATCTCATTAAAATCATGAACTGCTTGCTGATAGACAGCAGTAAGAAAATAAAAAGGTATATGCTGAGGACATATCTGACAAAGAAGAATGGACATAGAATATAGGAATAAAAGGAAAGCCATAAACATTCGTATTTAATATTTTCAGAAGTGTCCCACAAAAAAGCACACTTTATCATTTTATTTTTATGACTATAAATAAAAAACAAATCTGGATTGGTGAGATAATAAATAGGAATGTATATGTAGAACTTTCTGGAATAATACCTGTGTGCTATATCCTAATAGAGGCTTTGGGTTGCCAAACTGGGACAATTATCAGAACGTAGATGCTACACCGTGATAAAAGTGCTTGCTTGGCTGGGCACTGGTGGCTCACGCCTTTAATGCTAGCTAATCTGGAGGCTTAGATCTAATGATTGGGGTTCAAAGCCAGCCCCGGCAGAAAAAGGCCATGAGACTTTTTCTCTCCACATCAATCACCCACCTACAAACTGGAAGTGGAGCTGTGGCTCAAAGTGATAGAGCGCTAGCCATGAGCAAAGGAGTTCAGGGAGCCAGTGCTCAGACCCTGAGTTCAAGCTCCCATGACGGACCAAAAAGAAAAAATGTGTTGCCACTAAAAACAAACCAAGCAAGTAGCTTATACCCGGAATCTTGCAATTCCAGACACTGAGGAGATCTGAAGTACAAGGCCACCCTAAGCAAAACAGTTACAATCCCCTACACGTCAACAGAGAGAAAGCTAGACATGTCAGTACATACCTGTCTTCCACTGCCTGGAGCCAGCCAGAACCAACGCAAAACCCATCTCAAAATGAACAAAGCAAAAGCGCTTAGAGAGGTATCTCAAGGGCAAGAGAACCGCCTACAAGCATGACACCCGAGTTCAAACTTCAGTTCTGAGAAAATACAACCAACCAAAACACTCGCGCAAAAGCTCACTTAAAAGATCCTGGCATTTCACTATACGCAAAATACATTTCAAAACAACTAAACAAATATGGATTCTAAGGACATACTTGAGTATTTCAGAGGCAATGTGAACTTGCTTGAAACTTAATTTGAATGATACTGATTAGTAACCAGATAACATATATATCTGCTATGGCAAATTTAGCGTAACATTTATTATACTTCTAACTTTTAAATCTTGTTTTTTAAACTTTTCATTAAAAAACAAGTTTGGGAAGTGGCACTGTGGCTCAAGTGGTAGAGCGCTACCCTTGAACTGAAGAGCTGAAAGACAATGCCCAGGCCCAGAGTTCAAGCCCTACAACCAAAAAAGGAAGCACTTTTGGGACAAGGAGAAGCAAAGCAGATCTGTCCAGATCTGTCCATTGTGCCACAGGACCTGCTATCCAGCCAGGCTCCCCTATAGGCAAAGCAGCTGGTGCACACGGAATGTGTGTGTAGAACTTGCTGGAATAATACCTGTGTGCTATATCCTAATAGAGGCTTTGGGTTGCCAAACTGGGACAATTATCAGAACTGATCCAGGAGTAGAAGATGCTACACAGTGATAAAAGTGCTTGCTTGGCTGGGCACTGGTGGCTCACGCCTTTAATGCTAGCTAATCTGGAGACTGAGATCTAATGATTGGGGTTCAAAGCCTGCTCAGGAGGCTGAGATCTGAGGATCGAAGTTCAAAATCAAGTTCAAAATCATCTCCAATTAACTGCCAGAAAACCAGAAGTGGCACTGTTGCTCAAAAGCTCAGGGACAGCGCCCAGGCCCTAAGTTCAAGCCCCATGATCACTACCACCACCAACAAAAATGGTCCCTTCTAAAATCCTGCCATGTTGTAAGTTCTTAAGAATATTATGTTAAGTGTCTTCAAGAACATTTTGTGAAGTGAAGCAAGCAAGACAAAAACAAACACTATTTCACTAAAAGTTTAAATTGTAGAAACAGAGTGGAATAGTAGATGTCAGGGCCTAAGAAGAAGTAAGGAATGCTTTTCAAAAAGTTGGAGATTAAAACACATGAGTTAATTTCTTGAGATCTGCTATACAACATCAGGCTTGCCTATAGTTAACAATGGGTTGCAAACTTAAAATTTTATCAGGATTGATCTCATGTGAACTGTTCTTACTACAACTAAAAATATCTTTCATCATAGTGTTTTGAGATAAGTCTCCTCTTACCCATATTTACTGATCTGTCAGCATATTTTTACATAATTTTCTATAGACAGGTTTGTAACTATAGCTTCATCTTCTGTCATGGTATTTTAAATCTAAGAATGGAATTTTTTTAATTATATATATATATATATATATATATATTTTTTTATATATATATACATATATCTATTGTTTAACCACAGGGCCTCAGGCATGCAAGACAAGCGCTCTACCAGAGCCACCATCCCAGCCTTCCAATATCTTTTTTTTTTTTTTTTCCCCCAGTCCTGGGCTTTAACTCTGGGCCTGGGTGCTGTGTCTGGGCTCCTTTTGCTCAAGGATAGCGCTCTACTACTTGAGCCACAGCACTACTCTGGCTTCTTCTGTGATTAATTAGAGGTAAGAGTCTCACAGACTTTTCTAGCCAGGCTGGCTATGATCCTCACATCTAGGATTCCAGGTGTGAGCCACTGACTTCCAGACAAAGTAATATTTTTTAATTTCTGATTCCATTGGAATTTTCAGAACACTGAATATAAAGCCACTATTGTAAGAAAGTAAATTCCAAATCTGTGCTGCTAGCCTAAACCTAAGTTTCATACAAATAGTTTAAGCTGTATTTTAATCACTAAAGATATTAGTCTACATTTGCTATCTTTAAAAACCTTCAACCTTTTAATCTAGCCTTTTATTTTCCTATACTGTACCCACATGAGGTTGGAATCTAAGAACTTGAAATAATTTGTCACTAGCAAATCTGGAGACTTCAAAACGTGCTCTCTTCTCTAAAATATGTATTTAAAATATTTCATAAAGGTGAGCTTACATATCTTCACTATTTTAGAACTAAAATGTGGATCATGAATAAACAATTTCAAAATATTACCAGTAAAGTTTCGAGAAGAGGTATGACATGCCTGTATACATGTTCTAAGAAAGAGAAGCTAAATCTAGTAAAGTCTTGACATTTATAAGGAACATTAAAAATATGCAACCAGAATAATGCAACTGAAATACTATTTTTTAGAAAATGGCTTTGTGAAATACTTTTTCCTACCGGTCCTCTGGTTGACAGGTTCATCTTCATGAAGATTATAAAAAACATGTCCATGTTCTTCAAGCCATTCATTTTATTTACTTATTTTGGATTTGACCTCAATGCCTTGAACTTGCTAGGAATTCTACTCCTTGAGTTATGCCTCCAGCCTTTTTAAAACACTAGACCACTATTTTCAACCAGTAGTAAAACAAAACTAAAACTAAGTCAGCACACAAAAGGAACTTACTGGAAGCCTCCTAAAGGCAAATAGTTCCTTCTATTTCTAGGATACCTACAGGAATACTAATACCTCTTGATTAAGTACCATCTCAACATTAACTACCACAAACCACATCCCTAGTCAAAAAAGCAAAGGGAGGAACTTAAGTGAAACTGATCACACAATAATTTAACAGATTTAACATTGCATCAGTTAATTCTCTTCCTTTGGACTTTTAAAGTATTTAAGACACATAGTAATTTCAATAGATCCCATATTGCTTCAAGAGACAATAGATTTCAAGAGACTCAAATTGATGAATCTTAAGTGCGTAATATTTCACCCCAGGATTAAGACATCAGTTTGACTACATTAGAAAAGTGAGCTTATTCTAAAATATCTAAATATAGAATATAAAAATAACACACAGTGAATTCACCATTTAAACAACTTATAAAATCTTACTGAGATGACTACCAACAAAAAAGTTGAAACTTGTAAAAAAAAAAAAGACAAACTTACTTCATTTCCATGTTTTTGCAGGAATTCAATTTCCTGTTGTGTAAATGTTGTCATAGAGATAGATTTCACCCTGTGTGGTGGATTTAACCCTCTCCTACAAGATAAAATATTTTGCAAAATTTACTACTATACATTTTCAAAATCACAATGTAATTTACATTTTAAATTCACACTTATAATTCCTAAAGCAAAACTGTAAGTTTTGTTAGATTCATACTAATATAGTTAAAGATAAATTCAACTAATCACCTAGTAATCACATAGCATTTACAATATTCAATCTAGAAAACATAAATATTATTTGTGTAATTCTGATGGAGAGTAAAGACTAGATGAAGAGCACGATGGTAAACAATTTAAAAACAGTGCTACTGCTGGCTTTTTCTGCTTATGTGCTGCTGAGGAATCGAATCCAGCACCTTGTGCAAGGCAAGCACTCTACCACTGAACTACCTTCCCAGCCTCATAGAACATTTTTGATCACTTAACATACAGTAAATGTTGAAGAAGAAACCAGAACAAAGGAGGGGGTAACAATGCTCAATAGGAAATGTACCCATTACCTTACTCATGTAATTGTAACCCCTCTTACAGTATTTTTACAATAAAAAATATATATTAAAAAAAAGAAGAAATCAAAGAGACAAAAAGATTCAAGAAGTAGCTGGACACAAAATTCAGTGACATTTAAATGAACAATTAATTACAATTTATTTGTGATCACATATTAAAACTCTAAAGATTTCTTCTAAATTTCCAAACCTGGATCATTATTCATTTAAAGCCATTAACACTGTTTTCCAATGTACTATAAGAACAAGACTACAGGGGCTGGCAAGGTGGCTCAGTAGTAGAGTGCTTGCTTTGTATGCATGAGCCTGGGTTCGATTTCTCAGCACCACATAAGCAGAAAAAGCCGGAAGTGGCACTGTGGCTCAAGTGGTAGAGCACTAGCCTTGAGCTGAAGAGTTCAGGGACAGTGCCAAGGCCCAGAATTCAGGACCCACAACCAGGAAAAGCAAAAAAAAAAGAACAAGACTACATTCTTTGACTTTGGGGAAACTTTATTAATTATGTGTGTGTGTGTGTGTGTGTGTGTGTGTGTGTGTGTGTGTACACATATATAATATACCCTACCTTCTCTAAAACAAAGTAAAAGGGAATTCCCTTACTACTGTTCTCTCACACGCTGCTTCTTCTCTCAACTTTGTCTCTGACCCCCTAACATCTACTTCATGTTCCAAACAATCCTTTATCTTTTCATCCTCCTTGCAACAGCTTTGATTTTTTAATTATTATTATAAAGGTGATGTGTGTATCATGTCAGGTAATGAGTACATTTCTTTTTGGACAATATCACTCTTCCTTCCTTCTCTCCTATAGTCTTGCAACAGCTTCAAAAAAAGGCAAAGGAATAACTTTCTATGAGAAAGAAATTATAGTATTACAAAGATCTTTGTTTTAGAGAAAAATTTAAGACAAAAGCATTATACACATTGGAATGTGTTCAATGTTCAGTGTTCAATGTTCAGTGTTCAATGAGGCAGGCAAGCTAGTTTATACCTATAACCTAGCTACTAAGGAGGTTGAGATTAAGAGGATCTTAGTTTGAGGCCAATAAAGGTCACAGACTCCATCTCAACCAACACAATGCTGGGTACAGTTGCTCGTGCCTGTCATCTTATTTCTTTCTGTCTCCAAGATGTCTGTGAAGTTACACCAAAATGGTTCTAAGTGTGGATTTATTCCAATTCTGAAAGGCAGCTGTGGTCTTACTGCCTTTTGTTAGAACTAGAAAGTTTCAGCTATCATCTCTTCAAACTACATTTCTCAGGTTGACCTTGAATTTTTAATCCTCCTGCCTCAGCCTCTTAAATGCTGGTATTCAAACCCAGCTTGAGTAATTATTTTTAATTGCCTAATGTCTCCAAGTTTTCACAATGACTATATATTATTATATAATTAGAATAGCAACAAGAAAAGTCCAAACTGATTGGTGGTAGTGACAATCAAAAACTTTGCATTTTTAGTCCTGGCTTTATGGATATGAGTACCTGATGAAAGAGTGCAAGTTTTTCTAAGGCTTTCTTTCAACTTTCCTAAAACCTAAACATCCTTCCTCCTAGCCTTATAATTCCTACCCACCAATAACTGACACTTGGAATGTTACGGGGGGTGGGGGGAGGGCTGTTCTTGCATGGTGGGATGTGAAGCAGCAGACTCTGCCTCTATTCACTGTCAGGAGCACTTCCCTGCAAGAAGTGGCAATCAAACATCCAGATATCCAGACATTGCCCAATCTCCCAGGGAAGACAACCCTTCTAGTTGAGAGCCACTGTTCTTAATAGGACAAACATATTAATTACCTAGAACTGAGACTGAGTCCTCTGTTGATATGTAAATTCTACCAAGACATGATCTCCTCCAAAGTACTCTACTCTTTCATGCCACACAAAACCATTTTTTTTCTATAACTTTACACTCAGCATAACAGAGCACAACAGACAAAGCAAATGACAAAGCAAATACATAAATTTTAAATGTAGTAGTGCGTTTAAAATTTTAATTGCAAACAATGCTTGATAAGAAATGTACTCATTATCTTGCCCTTGTAATTGTAACCCCTCTGTACAGTATTTTCACAATAAAAAAAAAAGATCTTGAAAAAGCAAAAAAAAAATTCAAGGGCTGGGACCTAGCTCAAGTGTTAGAGCACCTGTCTAGCAAATATGAGGCCCTCAGTTCAAACCCCAGTACTGAAAAAAAGTCTCAGTCCTTATGGCCTTAGAGCGATATGTCATTTTGTTTTTCAACTATATTTACAACATAAACATTGTCAAACTAAAAACCTAAATGAGTCATTGACTTAGCTATTTTCAGAGAACAAAATTAAAGATGTAACCTGAGATTTAAAAAAAAGAAATGTATTCTTTACCTGACTTATGTAAACCCCCATGTATATCACTTTTATAATAACAATTGTAAATTTTAAATTCCATTTTCCTTCTTTAAAAAAAATTTTTAATTGCAAAATAGTAAAAGAGGCATTCACAACAAACAACTAAGGATGAACTATATGATATATAATAGCTAGTCACCAGATATAAGTTCACAAGGCAGAAGAAAATTATTAATTATATTCATGCTGGCAAGTCTACATATTTAATTTCCTTTTAGGTCAAAAATACTAAAAAAGGTTTTTGTTGAAAAACAAAAGAAAAAAAACAAAAGAAATCAGTAGATAGAGAAAAAAAAGAAGGTAGAATTAGTCTTAATCCTTTATTGAACAAGAAAGAACTGAGGGAAAATGGAGCCTTTGAAGAGATAATAACTGAAAATTTCCAGAACTAAAAAAGGCAGCAATAAGACATGGGCATTTTATCAAAACTGGAATAAAAGCCATACTTACGGACGCATTTTGGTGTAACATCACAGACAGATCTTAAGTCAGAAAGAAAAGACAAAAACAAAAATCTTGACAGACAGTTCACTTAAGGGAACATTAGAACATTATCTTCAAGTGGCAAAAAGTAGCAACTATTGAGACCCAGAGAAGCTATTTTTGCACTAATACCAAAATAATGATTTTTTTCAGATTAAAAGAAAAAAAAAAACAACCTCGAGTTTACCCCTGAAATTTTCACTGAAGAAACTTAGATTGTATGTATTTTAAAAAGAAAATGAGGGCAAAGCACAGTGGCTCACACCTAGAGCCCCAGCTACTCAGGAGGCCTAGATAAAAAGGATTTAAGTTGAGGCCTGCCCTGACAGGAGAGAAATAGCTAAAGCCCCATTTCAACCAATATGCTAGTGTGTTCCTGTCGGCACAGTTCCTGGGGAGGCACAGAGGAAAACAAGTATGACACATTATCTCAGTAACTAAAGAAACAAGGCTGGGGGTGTGTGGCTCAAGTGTAGCACTTGGGTGCAAGACCTGAGTTCAAATCTCAATACTGCCAAAAAGGAAAAAAGCTCCAAAGAAGTTTTTCAAGTGACCGCAGGTAAGCAAAGAAACTAGCCAACAAGCAAATCCAACCAAACAATATCTGATCACAATAATGTCCAAATTTTGCCAACAATAGTACTTAAGAAAGGCAGCTAGTATTTTTAAGGATGTTATATTGTTAGAACATTTAAATGCTGATCAGTTCCAGATTGTAAAATAGTACAATTTCAATAGGGACTATAAAATAATACAGAATTTTCAACTTCCAACCCAGTATAACAAGGCAACTCAAAACAAAACTTGTCAATGTTTCAATAAAATTAAATGTACACTTGCCATATATCATCTAGCAATTCCACTCCAAGATACTTGAGTGAAAAAAAATCTATGTTTACCCCTTGTACACCAACATTTATAGCAGTTCTATTCATATTCATTAAAAGCGAGACACAACTGGGCTGCTTCACAATTGGAGAATGGATAAATAAGCCACAAAGTGCTACCTTGACAATAAGGAGGAGCAAACTATTGAGATACAACCAACCTGAGTCAATCTTAAAGGTATGCTGAGTGAGAATAGGCAAACTAGAAAAGTCGACTCCATTTACCTTTCTCAAAAAAGCAAACTTACAGTGTTGGGGAACCACAGTACTTGTCTGGGATAGGAAAAACAAGAGAGAGCCATGACGAGCATTTTCAGAGCAACGGAACAGCTCCATGTCTGATTTTAGTGGAAGTTACATGAATCTATACAAGTTAAGATTCAAAGAACTATACACCCAAATAGTTTATTTCAATGTATGCTAATTTTTAGAAATTAAAAAGAAACTGAAGCCCTGAGTCCATATTACTGTCTATATAACCACAATTTTTATATTAATGTTTTTTTCCTCATTTGAAACCCATCTTCTTTTCTTTACCTACCAAATTCTGGTCAATCTTTAATAGATCAAGACTGAAATGATTATTTTTAACATATTTTCACAGAAACTGATATTCCTTCTCTTTATAGCTAAACCTAATGGAGGGAGCTACCATGTGAATCCAGTGTTTATAAAACACTTTACTGTAGTGATATTAGTCATAACCACAGCATTTTTACAAGACCATCCATTCCAAATCCCAAAGTCTCAAGTTTTGTG